CCCTTCCTTTCCCAATCGAATGTTAGTACTGCATACTACCTCCTATCGTAACCTTGTTAGCCGCAGATACTCCCTAAAAGCACGGGTTCGTAAACAAGATTTTTCTGTATTGGTGAGCTTTAAAAAAAAAAAGAATTAAAAAATGCAAACAAATAAATCACGCTACTGCGTCCTTTGAGAGGGTTGTTTGTGGACAGCTGACTCTGTCAGGCAACAATTTCAGTTATCGCATTAAATAATTTGTAAGTTAACAATTGCCTTATTGTCTATAGTCCCCAGATCGAAGCTCCTATGCATCAACTGCTGCTGACCATTTGATTAATTTATGTAGCAGAAGTAAAAAAAAAAAGACGTGAAGGACCCTTTTCTACGACTAGGCATATAGGGCATAAAGAGCTAGACTTACATTTTATAGACCAGTTGGCACAAGATTGGTGAAGTCAGCATCAGGCCGGCCCGCCTATACTTCCCGGGACTGCACGCGGTACCCACTTAAGGCGGGTTCGACCTGCAAACCAAGGTCTTTATTTTTTTAAAGTTTGGCTAAGCCAGGGAGCGAACCCACGACCTACCGATCCGCTTAATTTATGTAATGAATATAATACCATGTAATAATCAATACAACACATACACTTATTCATATACTTTGTACTTTAACATAATCATGGAATTTATTTTCAATAAATGCTTTGTTTGTGGTGCAGTAATTCAAGCGCCTGTCATCTAAATTCAAGATAACCGTGTATGAAATATGCTGAAAAGCACAAAGAACCTCGGACCTGCATAAACCAACAAGTACGTTAACAGTGACTACAAGACAAGCATCTCTGATGTCTGACGATCATGCTAATTATTCTATGTCCCTGATGAGATCCAATTTATGTCCCATGTACTGAATACCAAATCACTGCAGATACAGCTCAATAATATAATTATATCGAAAGGATTGTCCCAGGATATAATTAAAGATGCAGAAAGCAATTATTTTTTTGGGAACCAATGGTATATCAGACCCACAAAAATAGAAAGTGTGGACACCTGGAAAAATCTAGTCAAAGACCCTTCCATAATTTATCTATCCCCCGATTTGTTTCGTGGCCAAGATGGAAGAACATTTATGCCCTAACACATTACACAAACATATTTGATACAATAAAATGGACGTAAACATTTTTATCACTTATTGACCATACAACTAAAACAATATTTATTTATCCTAAATTATAATAAGTGCTAAAAGTACACTACGGAAGTACCAAAAGCACTTGGTTTCACATACCTGCTGGGAGCAAACAAACATTAGATCTGGAACATGATGAATGCTAAAAAAAAATTGCATATATCATTAATCCTTGTACTGTTCCTGATTATCTGGCAAATAACCTGGCAGGTTAAGTGTTCCACTGGAACATAGATCAATACAGTGCTCTGGTTATTTTTTCTCTGGCTCTGCTGTAGCTTTTTCATGCCACCAGTGAGTGGTCATCTCTCAGGACATAACAAGCCAAGACCTTGATCAGAGGATATTCAGGGTTCTCCAGCTATAGACATGTGACTGATACAGGTTCAGTAATTTCTAGACACACAATAAGCTGCAGGATTGACCATCACAAATGTAGTAGCATTTTGGGTTTGCGTATTCAACTGATTAAAAGGCAGTGAACAAATATTAAGACAATCAGCCAGTATGTTGGTTTCCGATTCTGTCCTTTCTTTAATAATACTAATCTAAGTGAACTGACATCTTCATGCCTGCAACATGATCCTTGTTTAGCAATACGTGATATTTGAGCTAGCTGCACCGTTAAAATGGATTTATGTTGTTGCAAAATGTCTGGTCCCAGCAGATTGTTTTACAGTTCCACCCTCCTTGTCCGAGAACGCCTTTGCTTAGCTCATTTACTGGCCAATTTAAAAACACACACACACACACACACACACACACATTTCCTCAGCGGGTCAGTACAGTCAGTCCGATTTGTGAAGGTAATTCTTTGGCAACACTGATTCCTGATCAGCATCTTCTGGCGCCCTTTCCATTTTGTTTCCTTAAGATTCTCTCTTTCCTGTGTTGCAAATCCCCCTCTCTGGCGATCATATGACGCTAGGCCAATATTTGAATAGTCCTTTCAGACTTTGGGTAAGCTTGTTAACATTACCCTGGCTGCTTTTACTTCCCAGACCTAAAACAAATAGAGAGAAAACTCAAAGTTATAAATTAATAATGTAATTATCAGATAAGAGGTGCAGGAAAAACAAATACAGAGTAGATCTGACGTGTATCAGCTGAAAGCATGTGCCTCAGAAGGAATCAGAACGGAAGAAAAAAAGAAGATGTATACATTATTGTACGGTCATTCCATTATCATCCTATTGTGCCATCAAGTTAGGTCAGAAAGTTATGTCAGTAGTTTACCTCTATTCATATCTTTTACAATGTAGTTGTATGTATTTCATGCATCAGCTGGTCAGAAGAGGTCGCTTTAGATAGGCCTAAAGGATGGTCATTTTGACATTCTTGTACTAAAACGAGCTCTACTCACTCTATTTGAAACAAGCATTCTGAACATTATATCATCATAATACCTATTCCTCGCATATCTTTTCCGTCTCCTCTTTCAGTGCACATTAGTGTAAGCACATTACCCCTTTTGTGTCTGCTGCTGACCCACTAACTTCGTTACCCCTAGTATTTTCATTTGGAACATTTAATTTCGCCTGCTATTTGGGCTGATTTTGTTGTTTGCGCCTCAAGTTTAACATTCCAAAAACTGTTAGCATGCTCCTTTTTTTTTTTAGACATGGCTGAATGTCTTCTTACTTCCACAGAAGGGCTTTCATCAACATCCGTCAGACGCTTACTTTCTACAGGAACAGCACTTGCCAATGGCTTCATCATCATCATCATCGTCATCATCATCATCATTATTATCATCATAATTATCTTCTTCCTCTTTTTCTTCTTCTGCTTCTTCTTCTTCTTCTTCTTCTTCTTCTTCTTCTTCTTCTTCTTCTTCTTCTTCTTCTTCTTCTTCTTCTTCTTCTTCTTCTTCTTCTTCTTCTTCTTCTTCTTCTTCCTCATCTTCTTCTTTGTTTTCATCTTCTTCTTCTTTCTTTCTTTCTTTACCGACTTTCGTTAGCACAATTTTTATTTTACATGTTGAGTGAGCTTCATGGTTCTAACGCTTCTCCTTTCTCATCCGCTCTTGGGACCGGCAAAGATGGATATGTACATTCGCGTAATTACCTCTAACTTATGGTGTCACATGGGTATAATCCCCAAACTACATCTTTCATTAACAATAAATGCCATCATAAATCAATTCTGAGTAACTCGGTTTATGGGTAAAATATATACACCAGTGAAATGCCATGGGATTGTCCGGTTATGAGATACCAATAATTTTATGAATCTTATATCCTACTTTGATGGAAAGGAGCCATATATTAGTGACGTCTGAGCTTTTGATCTACTTTAACAATTTCAAGTGAGTTAATAATACACTGGGGTACTATTTGAAATTCCATCTTCCATACTAAACGTTTCGGTTTGCCAGAGTGTGAAAGTACTCTCCAGATCCTCAATGAAGGTTTTCGTGTTCCTCTGGCTTGTCGGTAGGTTTTTAATGTTTGTTTCAGTGGGAATTGTTTTTAATTTTTAAAGCATCAATCAAGTTGTAATGCGTTTGCTGTTTCACCACATGTTTTTCCTTTCAAAACACTGTAACCAGTGAAGCTGTTATAAAAACTTGTGCTAACATAAATCCTTAGTATCTGGGCGGAGTGGGAGTGTGGTGACTGTATCTTGAGTGGGAGTGTGTGTGTGTTTGTGTGTGTGTGTGTGTGTGTGTATGTGTGTGTGTGTGTGTGTGTGTGCGCGCGCGCGGGCGCGGAATGCTAATCTATAGTCATATATATGTTTATCCTTGTTATCAACTCTTGATTTCTCGGGTCAGCTGGTCGAGGATACACAGACACTGCTTTTTTTTTTTTAGTAGTGAATAGCCCGCTTTCAACCAACCCCCTTGGGTTTCATGATTTTATTCTGACCACTATGATCCGAATAATTTTGACGGAAATTAAAGAGAATGCAGGAGTAAGAGTTGGAGAATACAATGTAAACAATTTGCGTTATGTAGACGATACAGTTTTAATAGCTAAAACTGCGATTGATTTACAACAACTGCTGGATATTGTGGGGATGGAGAGTGGTAAGAAAGAACTGTCACTTAAAATTAAGAAAACGAAAGTAATAGTTATATCAAAGAAGCACATAATTCCACGTTCTGATGTCTAACTTGAAGGAAAAAGACTTGACCAAGTCAATAAACTTAATTATCTGGGAACAATCATATCATCATATGGAAAATGTGCGACAGAGATTAAAAACAGAAAAGTGAGGCAATAAGGAAGAAACAACATACTTCTAGAGACAACACATCTGATAATATATATTATCTGTTGGATTGACTCACAAAAGCACAGTCAGTAAATAAGTAAATGTTACCCCACCAGGATATCACACAAAGCGATAAACACCCTATGACACAGAGTGCCACCATTGGGGTGACGATTACCCGTGTAGCGGGCCCGAAATTCGCGTTTAGCCATTAGCACATATTTATTGTTGGGCTATAGTGCGGCCCCTGGCAAGAGCCAGGATGAGGCTTCAAAGAAACGAAAATTTTCATTCCACAAGGGGATGACTAATAAAATTACAAGCGTTCGGTCAGTTGTTTGGGACTGAAAGAGTTTATAAGTATTAGCACTGGTCCTGGGGAACAATCGTCTATAGTGATGCACCTCTGCATCTAACCTTGGAAAGTAAAACAGTCTTGGTGGGAGCACTTGATCTACTGAAGTGCGATAAGGATCTACGACTTTTTACAGCTACCTCAGTCGCATAATAAGGGGCCTTTACTTGTTTGTTTTTTCTTGTTCGTGAATACGTTAAACTTTTCAACACAGTTGTGTCTCTTGTTTTCTTCTACATTGTCCAGCCAGAACTCTGGCAGCCCCAGGGCCAGAGAAGCGAATTGTGAATGGTTTGCTTGCTGATCTGCTTGTTCATCCTCACCAGGCCTCAGTCCAGCTCAAGAGCTCGGGTGGCTGGTATCATGCCTGTGGGGGAGCAGTCATTGCTAGAAACAAGGTAGGATGCGATTGCACGTCATTTAGCTAGTGCCAAAAATAGAGAATACATACTTGTGGGTTGCATTATAAAAATGGAAACACTTGAGTGCATAGATACAAAATGAATATTATGAATGGAAGAAATGCAGAGGTAGAAAGGCTTTTATTCAGAGACGAGAAGATGGACATTATGACATGAAGGCTCAATGACAGACATGAATGAAAGGACACAAGGCAGTGTCACTAAATGCCGGTGTAACAGCGACAAGACTGTATCGTGGTGGTTTTCCGACAAGACCACAACTCTGTAAAGGTATATAGTTAACTTGTAGCTGTAGTATTGGACTACATGGTTATTCCCTTGAGTTCACAATATCCAGTCAACACCCGCACTGCCACAACCACCTTCTCAATTTTGTTGTGCCATACTAGCCGGACTTCCACACCAGTGTAATAATGTCCACAATATGCTACTTAGGCATTTTAAAAAAAAGCATACAATAAATAATACTAATACTCTAATACTTTCTAAATCTAATGTTTACCTAATAGTAAAACGCTACTAAAAGAATCTCTAAAGAGGGGGAATTCAGATCAACATTTTAACTGTAAGTTTCAACTGAAATACGACATGAATGCGCTTTAGGAAGTAAGACCGCCGACAAGACATACATGATGAACAGGCATAAATGTCTATGCACTAAGTGGATCTTCTTGATACTAGGTCATCATCATTGCCCACTGTGGAACCCCCCCCCCCCCCCCCCAACCCCTTTTTCTAGCAAAACTGCGTGGTTGGGTCATGTGATAATTTTCAAAAATGTCTTGACGATACACAAAATTGCAAGTGCGGATTCATCAACTCAAATATATGTCTCATAAACTCAAATATATGTCTCATCAACTCAAATATATGTCTCATCAACTCAAATATATGTCTAATCAATCAACTCAAATATATGTCTCATCAACTCAAATATATGTCTCATCAACTCAAATATATGTCTCATCAACTCAAATATATGTCTCATCAACTCAAATATATGTTCCCTATGCGGGAGCAGCCTGAGTTTGGTGGGAGTAAAAGTAGGAGTGTTGTCCACAGCTTCTGAAATGTTTTGAGTTTGTTCAGTATCTGTATTTACATATCAGTGGAATGTACTGTCATCATCATTAGTGCAAAATTGTGTCTGATACACGATAGTCGTTTGCAATATCACTAATAACATCATTATCATTATCCTGAAGATCTTGACAGCTGCTCACTGCATCGAAGGTCGAAATGTTTCCCAAATACGTGTGGAAGTTGGAGTCATGGACTTGTACGCCGCACCCATTGCCTATAAGCAGACTGTTGGAGTCAGCTCCCTAATTATCCACACTGGCTACAAACGAAATGCTGCAGGCATCCCCAATGACATTGGCATTATTTACCTGAGTTTTTCTTTATCACTCAGCGACACTGTGCAGGTAAGCCTTGGCGTGGTATACCGTATTTAACACGTGAAGTATTAGTCTTGGTACAGTTCATTTTGGAATCCGTCGTGGTGTAGTGGCTAGAAGCTCCCTGGCCAATCCCGAGATGAGGGGGGGGGGGGGTACAGTGATGACGATGCCAGACTTTCTGTCGAAACCTATCTTGGCTCCAGTTATATTCATCATTGGATGGGTACCAGATACAATTATTGGAAGTAAAGCGGCCTGCGTGATGATGGCAGTATCACCCAGCGAGTGCCGATAAGTCTAAACAAATATAAAGGTCTAGCCCTATATGCCCTAAACGCATGAAGGCCTGAAAAAGATCATCTACATTATTTTAATTATAACATTTCTTTTTACTTCATTACAATGTACAGTCATTGTCTGAGAAGACGATTCACAATTGTAAAGTGCAAGTTTCGTTTCTTCTGCAGGCAATTCTCAGCAGTTATTAGATTACAGTTTTAACCTGTACATTGAGCTATTCAACAAGGTAGCAAACAAACACACACAAAAAGGAGAATGTTTGACATTTGTGGTTTTATTTAGTTACTTCAAATCCAGTATTTTTCCATTTCTAAACGCACGACCTAAAACAGTTTAAATAATGCGGCAACAGCAAAAAACATTCCTTTGAAGTGGTGATAACAATACCAGCCGGAGGGCGTTCATCGGTCTATGAGATTACAAGGGCTAGCTCTATCACTGTACAAAACATAGTGACTAATAGTTTCCCGCAAACTAAACAAAGCTACGACGTCCGAAAGATACATTTGGATCAAGATGAAATAAGCATCATCATAGGTTAGTTGGGTATCCTTTACAGGGCGTTGCAGAACCAACCAACAACCCCTGGCAGTTGTGTGGTTTGTCTAGGCAAATTTACGTCCAGTAGTTAGCATCATCATAACGCCTAGAAAATAATCAATTACTTGTCACAGAAGAGTAGTGGCTAGACGTTCAACTGTGGGGCCGAGTGTCGTGGGCTACAACGAAACTTGACTTTTTATTTATTTAAATAAAATAAAACATGATCCTGGCTCGCAGATCGACCCAGCCTTAAGGTGGCCGGTATTACGGTTACTAAATCATCCACTGAGTGCTGATTGGGCTATAAAATATAATTCCAGAATAATATGCTCAATTTGCCGAAAGGCGTGGAAAAAGGTCCTTTGCTTTATATTTTATTTGTCACCAAGATGCCAGCAAAGCCAGTTTAGATTAGACTTCTTTTACAGTTTGTGCTATCAGATGACAGAAGCGTCCGTGCTTTAGGCGTTGCGAGGCCGACTTTAATCCAACGTAGCGAGATCGAAACCCACTGCTGGTTGCGTGGATTTTTATCATGGTATGGGCGTCACAGGTCGACCCAGCCTAAAATGGATACCAGGATGCCTGTCCTAGGAAAGTACAGACGGTCGGCGTAATGCTGACCACATTACTCATCCAGTGCCGATTGGTCTGTAAAAATATGGGACACTCTTCCCATTTGCCACATGCGACTTAGGCGTGAAAAGGGATCTTTACTTTTAACTAGCTGATGACAACGCAGCATAAAAAATCTAAATGTTATTTTTAAAAATTTCAATAACACAAACATATTGCTTCTCGGCACAGATTGCAAATCTGGCTCCTAAAGGATCATCATTTGCTGGCACTAAGTGCGTCATCACAGGATGGGGTCGAACCGGGGCCAATGAAGCCACGTCTCCAGAACTGCTGGAAGCTAAAATCCCAGAGATCACGACAGATGAGTGTGTGGCCAGATGGCAAGGACAGAATATCAACATAAAGCACATTTGTGTTTACGATGCAGAAGGTGCGAACCATTGCCTCATTAACTAGCATAGTCCACTAACAGTTACATATTTCTCACTTATGAGAATGTTGAATTAAGAATCGTTATCATAGCACTCGGGAAACTCCCATAAGCACTCTGTCTCCATCCTCAGCAGCAATCGAAGAGTTTCAGTTCCTATGGAACCAGTAACCGTCTGATTGTTTATCCTTCTAACCTTTTTCCCGAGTGTTAAGAGCTGGCCAGATCCCCTGGTAACTTCTCGCAGCGCCATTCTCCTCAGACCGTGATGATATGTTTTTGCCTCTGCACCGTTCATTCGTTCCCAGAGACCTGTGAGAAAGGATTTTAATGTATAATCTTTTCTTACAAATACTAAAATACATTAACTGCAGCCAAAAGTGCCACAAATCTAAACGTTTGATTGGAAATTTGTATAAAATAATTACGATATTACGTAGGATTGCAGTTAACTCTTCAAGGCTGGGTAGATCTGACAGTCAAAGTCAGTTTTGAAAAAATTCAACTGAATGAGAACCCGAACCTACGTCAAGCATCTAGCCGCAATAATCCCTGCGGCGCCGATTATTATATATATATATATATATATATATATATATATATATATATATATATATATATATATATATATATATGTATAACTAGTACTTATGTGTATATATACACACACATGTATGTGTGTATGTTTGTGTGTGGGTGTGTGTGTGTGTGTATCGGTAAATAATGAATGCACGGTATAGACGTTTGATACAAATGTATCTACAGTACAGTTGTTTACCATTCTCTATAGGAGATCGGTAAATCCCCCTGGTGTGACACAACTCCGTTGTGACAAAAGCATGTTGAGAACCAAGACTATATTAGGATAAGATCAGACCTTTGAGTAGTAAGTGAAATAGAGCCCGGCCAGTATCTTGCACTGAACTTTTCACACCCTCTGACGCATAGCGCAATGCGTCATTACTCAGATAAGAATACCCAAGGGCCCACTCGGTTACAATGTAACCTACAGTACATGGTTATTTGCGTATCCCTTACAAGACGTTGCAGAACACAATTCCACCAGCCCCTGGCTGTTGTGTGGTTTCTCTAGGCATATTAACGTCCTGTAGTTTGCCATTGCCCCCTGGACGGTCGGCCCCGATACCACTGTTGAAACCAACGAAAGACGCATGGCCCGCAGGTGTTACGGAGCGTTTGCATCGACTTAACCACAGAGCCGACACAGTCCATGAGGCTTTATTAATTAATTCTGTTTTAAGTGTTGTTTCCGTGTTCGGGACAGGCAATTTAAAAAAAAAAATGAATTGCCCCGTGTCGGGACAGGTTGATAAAAAAGTGTTGTCCCATATCGGTACAGGTTTAAAAAATGTTGTCCCCTGCCGGGAAAGGCAATAATAAAAAATGTTGTCCCATGTAAAGACAGGTAAAAAAAAAAAAATGAGGTCTTTGAGTGAGGAAAATTTAGCCCATTTACGCCAGCACACTGAGCCATTCACGTCATGAGGCGTAACGGCAATATGTGATTTACTCGCATGATAATCCCACAGGGTCAATTCCCACAATCCCCGTTCAACAGTAAGATTATATGTGTCACCCCCCCCCCCCCCCCCCCCTTTTTTTTTTCTCCCCTCCTTGGTCAGCTACAAAGTAATCAGAAGTCCGTCCTATACTATTGAAAAATGTTGTCCCTACGTGTACCCTGTTCAGACGTTTGGGGCGCATCGCAAGGGGAAATTATAAAGGTACCTTTTGAAGAAAAAAAAAGGATTGCGACAGGCTAAAAGCAGGAATGGGGAAAGTTAAAGGTTTTTATTGCATAGAGTTTTATTCCATAGTGCTATTTCTCTCTTCGTAAGCGTCTACTTTTCAATATGGCAAAAAATTTATTCACAAAATATAATCACAACAGGCTCTATGCTACTTGTGGACGTTGTTTAAATACAATGGAAGGCATAGCAAACGTCTTAACATATCCCTAAAAGTAGAATAGACCTATACAAAACAAGTTTCGAGTACTCCGTTGAATAATTGGGAAACTGTCTTTCACAAGTCAAACATACCACTGGTCCCTATACATACAATCCGAAACCGTCTGAATATTATCTGAGTACAGCTTACAGGAGCCCCAAAGAGTCGAGAACCACACATGCATACAGACAGACGGAAGCACACATATATGCACGTATACGCACTCACACACACTCACACACACAGAGTGGAATAAGAGAGAAGGGGAGCAAGAAACAGACGTACAGACAGAAACTGTTTCTCCTAGAACGCGTAACTCTAATGCTTTCATCGTTTGGTTTAGTTTGAACAATGGATCAAGATCATGGCACAAGGGTAGTAATCCGTTCTACTTCTAACTGAAGCCTAAGTCTGAAGAATCCCAGCTCAGTGCACGAACTAGTAGTACAGGGAAGGATCCTGAAGTACTTTCAGAAGATTTTTTGCTCCAAGTTTTGCCTGAGCAGGGCCGTTAGGCTACATCGTATCTGAGTTAAAACAAAAACAGGTTAAGTATTTGATTTTTTAAAGTGGATTGGATATCACTGAATAAATAACAATTCTACACTACCAGCTCCCCTGGGAGACCGGCCTAGTGCCTGCATGGGTGACAGTGGTGGTCCAATGATGTGTGGCGACAACTTTAAGTACCTAGCGGGCATAACCTCGTGGGGTGTGTCAAGCTGCAGTGGTAAGATTTTTTGTGAAAGACTAAAAAATGAAAAGACCGTTTTGTAAATATTTTTTTTTTTCTGAAAAAAAAAATGCAGATAGGACGAGGTAGACAGATGTCAATGGTAAATTTGTTAGAGAAATTTGTAGTAATCAGTTATGGTTTCCTAATCTTGTGAGAAGAAATGATCTTTCCCGTGCGGGTTCGGGGGCCCTATTATAGGGAAATCAAGAATAGACCCACTGCCTACCCAAAAGCATATCGTAAGAGACGACTTATTGTCTCCTTCAGAGTCAGAGTTCATCTGCCTGAGAGGCAAGGAACCACCAGTCTGCAAACAAATTATTTAGATCTGTCAAACGGATGCACACACAACACTCAAGTTCTGGAACAAGACTGCAGTCCACAAGTGGACGAGCAACCAGAACTTTCTGCCAGAGTTTACAGCTGGTGAACGCAAAGAAGAAGAAGAAATGATCTTTGAAGCAAACAGCAAAGTTGCTGGAAAAAAAATCGACAAACGACAGAAAAAAAAAAAAAAAAAACTTTGGATATTTCTAATCACGCCATGTGATAAAACCTAATCCAAGACTGAAGATGTTCTGAGATAACGAAACGAAACTACCATAGGCCTGAAGCTCCAGTAGGGAAAACAGATTCTGGCGGAATGTAAGCTACGTTATAAAAACAATTCATAGTGGCAACTTACTGCAAACAGTCGTGTTGTACCATTACAGAATGTATGTTGGCAAGTCACAATACTTAGATATATCCACATTATGGTAACAAGGCTTTTGCAAAATATCGCACCCACCATGACATGTTTGGATCCCATGCCACGGCAATATTAAGGGAAATGAAAGAGTAGGCACAAATTGGAGGTCATACATAACTGCCAGATACCCGATTCCCTTACGAGAAAAAAAAACTCAGATCAAGGCAGCTGTTAGAAGATACTGAAACAATTCTAATCTATGATACTATCATGGAGACCCACACACACACAAAATCCCAAAACGAAGAAAAAGATCATTATATTTAGACTGCGTACCGGGCACAAAATGTTCTGCAGCTACATTTACAAGAACTGCCAGAATGCACATTTAGAAATGAGCCCCGCTGGCATCTCACGCATAGCGATTCACACCCTCTGACAAAGTGCAATACGTCATTACTCAGATGAGAATACCCAAGGGCAATATCCGTTCATGGTGGGGCAAGGACGGCATCCTGGAAAAGGGGGGGGGGGGGATTAGCGACCTTGATCACATAGGGGTAGGGATGGGACGCTCCATGGGGTCGATAGCAGCCTCAGATGTAGCTGGGAAGCATTACATGAAAAAGACAGCAGTAGACTGTCATACTGTCCAACTGTATTTGTTAATGGCAAATCAGGACATGTAAACAAAAGAATGACACGTTCGCATTCCATGTGTGCCGTAAAATGCAGCTGAGCAACATTCTAATTCATTCCATTTAAGAGGGGACAAATCAAACATGTTGAACCTGTTGACAGCAAAACAGTTTATGGTTATATTTGTGGTCTCGTTTGTTTACCCCACTTGCGTGGCTAAGATTGTGGTATGTAAGCCAGCTCTCTGGACTTATGTTCCTATCCTAGCAGCTATACCGATCCTCCCTGTCTGTGTCCCAGTGTGTTAATCTTATCTTTCTGATGTTTTCCTAATGGGTCATCCTCAATCAGGTTCAATCTGCTTATTATTTTGTACTTGTGTCCTCCAATGTGTACCAGAATCTGTTGAGCAGCAGTTATCACGACATGCATTTTTAATATCAGTTGTGTACCCACGATTTGACTGATTATAAATAGATAACATCTTCAGCTATAATCATGGTTCAACTGTTAGATCAGTAAGAACAATTCGGTCAGAAAAAATATTTTTAGAGCCAACGGTCATTGTAGAAACAGCATTATAGCTTTTTAATATCAGCTATATTAACTCTTTGAGTCCCAGGAGGTTTAGCATCAGAGGCGAAAGGGGTGGTCATGAAATTTTTCAATTTCACAAGTGTAAGTCATTTAAACAGACCATACTAATTCAGTTGCTGCGCAACATACACATATTATACATCAAAGTGACCAGGGATTGTTGAGGAATAATTGGTAGTCTGGTAGTATTAGTTTCAGCTTCATAGCAAACCGGTCACCCCATCTTTGCTCTGCTCCTGTGCCAACGAAAAACACACAGAATGTTTATCACAGTAATAGAATTGCGGTTCATTATTGATGGTAGCAGAAGTCACCAACAGATCAGCAGTTGCCCACGCGATCAATTTTAATCACATACGGGCACCACAACACTGCACGACAGGCATTGCGCCATTTTCTGAATAATTATAGAATACAGCTACAATAAATAATTGCGTTAGTAATGAAATATTATTAAATAAACAGACGGTATGTTTACAAAAGGATTTTTATCGTATTATGGGACGTCGCAGGTCGACCCAGCCTAAAATGGGTACCAGGATGGGCTGTCCTGGGAAAGTAGAGACAGCCGGCGTAATGCTGACCACAGTGCTGATGGTCTGTAAAAATATGGGACGCTCTGCCCATACGCCCGATGCGCTGAAAGGCGTGAAAAGGGATCTTTACTTTACTTTTTTTTTTTTTTTTACTTATGCTTACAAAAATTAGTAAAATAAAATAAAACAAATTTCCACTTAACACCATGGCACTCAAGGAAAACTGTTTGCAATATATCAAACATGAATCACAAATGAATATGAACCACTTGGTAATGTATAGGTAAAATATAAACTCAATCTATACATTAGATTTTATTGCAGAGAATCTTGAGAAGCGTCATACCAGAGCACCATTTTTTGGTTTTAAAAAAAACTGACTCCCAAAACAATAAGTATCTTCACACAAAACAAAGTTTTTATTACTCCCAATTTGCCTGTAATTTTGTTTCTATGTTCCTAATTATAAGAGGAATAGCACTAGAACTGACACTATTGTAAGAGATAAATATATTTAGAGATATCACTATCATTTATGCAATTTATAAACATATGCAGAATTTATGTTATTATAAATATACAATCTCCTTGCAGGTAATTACCCATCAGTGTACACTCGTGTCTCTGAATATCTGGAGTGGATTGCTTCTAATTAAACAACCCACAGAAGATGCCTAAATAGTTTTTATTGTGCTCTCGTGTAGGAATGTGCAATAATGTTCAATAAAAGTACAATCTTCTGCAAAAAGAAGTTCAACGATTTCTATGTGTATATATATTAATACATATTAATTTCGTCATTATTTGGTTTTGTTATGAGAAGAGGAAAACGAGCATTTTGTGACCACTGGAAAAATGTGTGTACAGAGAGACAGGCGGGTCACAGGAGAAGATTCTTGACCGCCTTTTGTCATTGCACGGATAGGTTGTTTGAAAACTACACCTCTTGTTTTTCTTGTTGTATAATGGTCTTGTGTTGTGCACGGTGATATTTGAGACTGCAAAATAAAGTGTCTGATCTGTTTGTTGATATCTATAAATACACTGTGGGATTAAATCGTGACTCTGGCCTTGTAAATTATGTTAAAAATTATGTATGTGTATTCAACTGTATTTTGCCTAAATAGTCTGCATGTCTTATATTTGTGCTTTCACGTAATCCGTTGTGTTAGATGTCGTCATGTTTTTTTTGTGTGTGTGTGTTTTCCTAACATCACATAAAAACGAGATCTCATAGATTTTGACTGCATCTGTGTGTGTTTGGACATAATCAATGGCTCAGAATGCTGAAGAAGAAGACTAACCAAATAGATAAAATGGAGGCGAGGGATATCTGCAGCAATGAACCTCAATGGCTCGGAATGCTGAAGAAGAAGAAGAAACAAAGGTACACATGGTCAGTTCAAGGATAATCTCCCCACGTTAAACACTTGCTCCCTTCTGATTGGTCGAACTCCAGTCACCCGATCTTCGCAGACTACTAGGGGGTGATTGGCAATGCCTTTGATATCGCATGTTGTATATTTAAGCATGCCAGCGTTTTTAACACTCCAAAAATATTTAGAAACTGGGTCTAACTCACTACCTCCCTAGACAGTGCTGCAACCTATGTCACAGGCATTTTCTTTCTGGGAAGAAAAACGTAAATGCAAGACAAGCCAGAAAGGAAACAACATAGCCGTAACACCCCACCCCCCCCCCCCCCCCCCCCCCCCCCACCCCCCCCCCCGGACAGCAGACGAGTCTAAAAATAAATCAATGGAACGTGACCTAGCTCGGCTGGAGAAATTATCGTGGAACTAACTGGTTCACATCTGCAGCTGTCAAAAAGTAAAACAATCTGCAACAGTAAGTCACGTGCACAGGTAGGTATGTAGTTGTACCCCACCGGGACATCACACAAGCGATAAACACTCGCTGACACAAATTGCGACCAAACGGATGAAGATCACCCATGGAGAAGTCCCAGAAACCCCTTTCAGCCATTATGGCCTAATCTATGGCGTAGGCTATATTGAGGTGCCCCTGGCAGAAGCCAGGGTGGGGCTTCAAATGACAACAAAGTGCACCCCACATGGGGACGACTTTTGTGGACAGTCAGCAGTAGTGTTATGTAAAACAGAATCTTACTGTTATATTGTCAATACATAGAGATTTCCTCATCGTTTATGGCAGTGTCACGGATATACAATCTGTATTTTGCCTTTAGACATGCTAGTAGCATCTTAGAAATAATAAAATACTATGTGGGCGGGACATAGTGATTAAATGTCTTTAAAATTATTGTCTATTTGCATATTTGTAAAACAGTGTCATCATTTTCTTTTTGACCTTCATTGGATTGCACACGATTTTATTTCTTTTTTAAAGTATGTGTACATATATATGTATATTGAAAGAAACATAATTTTGACATTTAAAATCCTTGTGATTTCATAAGTTAAAATATTTAAATTGCCCACAACAATACCTTAATTGTCTATCAATCAACTGACAGTTCTTTAGCATCAACACTCTTTGATTATCTAATATGAGCGTCACTTTGAAACGCCTATTACATGGCTAAAACCTAAATTCCCGTATCTGCAGCAATATAGGATTTTAGTCGTGGACTTTTTGAATCAGTATTTATTTCGCAATTCTTAAAAAAAAAAAAAAAAAGCTTCAGAACGACAATGCTAAAGGAAGATTACATAACCATGATAAATTCAAAAACAGGAAACTATTGTCATTTTTCACGATTGGATGCGATGACGTAAATGAGAACGGGGGTGGGAGGGGGGGGGGGGGTGAATGAAGTCAAGTTAATAACAAAAGGTCTTAAATAAAACATAAAATATGACTGGAAAGCTCAAAAGAGTGAATGGAAAATGAATGTTAGCACCAAAGTCTTTATCAACGGAGTACTGAATACAACACAAACTCTGATTGGAAAACGAACAAGACAAAAGAGCTTCTTCAAAAATCGAAATCAGCAGGAACTCAAGAAATACGTAATTTGGGGATGGGGTGGAGCTGGGAAGTGATATTCACATTGAGAGCTATAATAAGAATCGTATTTGCTTAGACATCTACGTTATGGGGAAAGAAACACGTCCAACCAACACCCCTGAAGGGGCAACTTTAGGTTATAACTGTGAATATGTTATTTTAAAAAAAATTACTCAGCATTGCTCGTCACCAAAATCCACGAAAAAGACTCCTGCAGTGTTGAGGCTATCGAAGGAGACAGACCCAAGTACAGTCCCAACCGGCGACGAGGTCGTCTACCTGCGAGCCAGTGGGTGACCCGAACACCGATGTTGAACTCAGGCGTTGTAAGAAAATGGTAGCTAGCACACTACACACTTGCCTGCCGACTCCAAGACCCAAATATGCATGGAAACTTGTTTCGACACAGCCTTTAATAAAGCAAAGGACCCGTTTCCACACATCCAGGGTATATGGGCTAGACTTAGATTTTATAAACCAAACAGCAGTTGTTGGATGATGTGGTCAGCATCACACCGGCATAGCCTACAATAGTCTACAATATGTATTTAAAATATGCTGATCCGGCTCGCTAGCGTAGTTGGTTAAATCTGACTTCGCGGTGACCAAGCGACGAACTCCTTGTGGTCCGGGTTCACGTCCCAGGGTTGGGCAGAAAAACTACATTTCTCCCAGATTGACGGTAACTATCATGAAATCAATGACGAGGGGTTGCGATATCCATAGTACTGAGCCAAAGGGTTAACAACTCATGGTTTCTGAATACTTAGGGGGGGGGGATATATATATATATATATATATATATATATATATATATATATATATATATATATATATATATATATATATCATGGGGGAAGGTTTTAAAAAAAAAAAGGGGGGGGGGTGGTAAAGAGCTGTCGACGTGATATTGCCCATGTCACAGATCAAACATCGATTCTTCTTCCTCCCGCCAAGTCGTTCTATCCTTCGCCATTACATGGAGCTCTCCCATGTCCTCCCCATCTTTCTAACATCATTCTCCAGCTCTCTTCTATATATGTTTTTTTTTTTTCCTTTATTCCTGTACCCCTGTGGGTTCCAATGCTGATTGAGTCCTATCATAAACACAAACAGTTTTAATGAAATTACAAATTTTGTAACTTTCAAAAATTGCAGTTCACATTTACAAATTAGCTGCATTTACAGTGGGTGACAGTATTCTTAGACATCATTTAAGGAGAATAAATTTTCCCTGTGACATTATCTAAAGCAACGTATTTTATGTTAGTCATTGACAAAGGCACACATATACAATCGATTTCGTACATTCGATCGGATATTTCAAACATCTCAGAAATAAGATAAAAAATTAAAAATACTAATTAAGTAGATATATCGAACAATTGTCTTTAAAAAAAAGTAATTGTCGATTCACATATTTATTAGTGATTAGTAAATTGTGATTAAAAAGGATTATCATCACAGCACTCTGGACAGATCCATAGATACTCCGATCTCCTCCTCAAAAGCTCCACATGTGTAAAACGACTGATGACGCCTGTTCTGTGTTGGTTAATTAAACGTCTTGTCTCCTTAGTGAAATGTTCATTTCTTGCTGCTCCAGGCTGTATTCCCATGTCTATCAGTTTAGACAGGGATACAGAGTCATGTCCTTTGACGTGCTTCTGGGTATGGTAAGTGCAGCGCATGGCATTGATAACATCACTTCTGTCCAGTACTGGACCTGCCATAACAACCGCAGTGTCAGCTAGATTGTCTGCACTCTTGTTTCCATGAATACCCGCATAACCTGGCACAAAGAAAAAGGTTAGGGCAGCTATTCGTGAAGTGCTTAGAGTCGTAATACATTCTTGACTGATAACTCCAGCTTGGGTTTTTGTAAGCATATTCATGGAGTCAATAAGAACGCATACGTGTGTAAACTTTTGAGTATCCAGCCATGCTAATGCCCTTTTTACAGACATAGTTCCCATTGTAATGCTACTAGTTGTAACAGCAAAGGCGCAATTCATCTCCTTGATGGTTTTCCCCCTTGAGCTAACTCTGAATGTCCATGTACTTCGCTTGCCCCAAATTACTGTCCCATCTGTGTAAACTTTAGCATCACCTTCATCTGTGTTTTCGTCAATCAGTGTTTTTGACTAAACTGTCAACAATGCCCGGAATCTGCTTTCTACAGCTTCCATCAAGTGTGATGTGGACTGTAATATAATTGGTTGGAGAAGGAGGCACAATTATCCATTCAATTCCAAAATTAATGCCAGTAAGGCGGCAAACATGTTCGATGGTATCCTCAGCCCGACTCATCCAGGATTTGCCTTGTTTGAGTCCTTTTAAAGTGGATGTCGATGGTCTGACTTTATTTTGAGGAAAGCAACAGCCCTGAATAGACTGATTATAATTTTCATTGTGGGAAAATTCAAGAGGTATCGTAAGGATTTACAGGAGGTGTCTCTAGTTCATCTAAGAATAATACGCATTGCCTCGTTTTCATTTTTTTTTTTTCCAGTCTGTTCATCTGTGTGGTGTTAAGTGTCATGATGACCAAGGTATATTCAATTGTTGCTCAAAGTTTGCAGCTCCCATAACTTTTATTGCGGTGAGACCTTTCTTGGCTTTGGTTATTATGTATGTTTTTGCGTTATACAGAGGCTTTGAAGGC